TGGTAGGTGGGCCCGCCTCCCCGACCCCTGCCTGATCAGCCACCCCTTCCCACGGGCCCGGAGGCTTGATACAGGGGTCCTGGCAGCAGGGGGCCATCTGGGATCGCCTCTCTTTGGCGTTCTGTCCTCTGCCCTGGGGGAAGGGTTCCACCCGGGCCTCTGGGCTCTGATCCTGGTCCAGAAGGCATACGTGTCTGGCTGAGCTGGCATGTCTGAATCTTCTGTCTGACCAGCTTCCAGAGGTCAGGCTCCCCTTGACCCCCTAGACAGTGGGAAGTGGGAGGGAGTAGAGAGTTGGGGGCGGGAGGCGTGGCACCCCCTTGCCCTGCTCTCGGGGTGCCTGTGTGGGCGGAGCTCATGGTGAGCACAGCCTGAGGACATGCCTCCCCACATTGGTCCCTGTGGTTGCCCCCATGGCCACGTCACACATGGGGAGACTGCGTCCCACAGAGGCTTCATCTCGTGCCCAGGTCACCACCGAGTGGGGGAGGGGGAAACTTGAGGCAGGTAACCGACTTCACCTTTTCTGGAGACCTGTGTGTGGGAGCAGCAAGGAGCGCGAAGGCGGGTGTTTTCAGGGAAAGAAATGCGGCGGGTTTGGAGGGTGATGGGGTTTTGCAAAATGGCAGCTGGAGGTTTGTCAGTCGGGCCTGGAGAAGAACGTGCCTGTGTTCTCCTTGTGCAAAAAACCCCTTGACCATGAACCCTTGCTGTCCCCTCTCCTGTGTGTGTGCCTGTGTCTGCAAAGGTGGTTTCTCACCTGTGATCCAGGTGTTGATTGGCACCGACGCAATCCTTGCCTGGTGCGTCTGTCAGAATAGGGCCTTCCCTCCTGCCTTCTCCACCGCCCCCCCATCCCAGCCAGAGATCCCCGCTCCAGGCCTGAGGCTTAGAGCCCACACACGGCCTGAGGCCTCAGACCTGAGGGGTCTGGGGGGCCCACAGATCATTGTGAGGCCCGGTTATCCAGCCCTGAGGGAGTGGGCACCGGATGCCATGCCCAGACCTGCCTGCAGTCTCCTTCCCTCTGTGCCCAGTTCTGGGCCTGCCCTTCCTGCCCTGCACGGACCGTCCTGCCCCATCTGAGAGCCAGGCCTCGGGTGCAAACGCAGTTGATGGAGTGCTGAATGGGGCAGAGGGCACGGATACCCCCAGAATTCCCACGTGACCCTGGCATGTTGCAGGGCTCTTCTTCTCCAGGTGATAGCAGGAGGTGGTGGGGCCAGGTTGGTTTCCGAGTCGGGCAGATCTGGGTTCAAACCCCGGGTTTTCCACTCATGTCGCAGCGGTGTTGAGCGAGGCACTCTGTGGCTCTGAACTGCAGTTCCACCTGTGACAGGGGACTGCCCACAGGCTGGTGTGGGGATCGAGACTGCGCACGTAAAAAGCTCAAAAAGCAGCACTTGCCCGAATCTGATCTTCATAGTCTACTGATATTAATGGAACTCACATTCCAGAAGGAGAGGCAGATGTGCAAACAGACAATTACACTCCAGTGTGGCATACAGAGCGATCCCAGCATTGTGTGAGGTGTGTGCTGGTGTCGTGCGAGCCAATGAGAAGCCAGGAGCGAGTGCGCAGGGAAAGCTGAAAAGAGCCTTGAACCGGGGAAGTAGGTTTAGTCCTCAGAGCCACAGCCTCCTCTGTGGGCTCCTGGGGGCTGAGAGGAGGGGGAGCCTCAGTCAGGAAGGGCTCCCCCTGTCGTGCACCCCCTGTGGCTCCAAGTAGGGACCTCGGGAACCAGGGACACAGTCACTGCTGCCTCAGCTTAGAGAGGTGTGTTTCCTGACGTTTGCGACGAAGCACTCTAGCAGAACCGGGGTGAGGCGTTGTCAGCGGGACTCAGGATCCTGCAGCAGGAGCAGGTGCCTCCTCTAATTTGCACCCGGGGCATCTCACCTGCCCCACCCTTGTCCTGGTCCTGGTTGTAGTGAGGCAAGCGTGCTCCACCAAAGGTGGGCTCCAGGGTGCACAACGGTGACGAAACGTGCCCTGCCAGGGCCCAAGTCTGCAGAATGACGGAGCACTCTGAGCACACTCCAGCTCCAGGGCCTTTGTGTGGGTGCTGTCCTCTGCCGGGAATGCTCTCCCCCTAGATACCTGAGTGGCTCACGCTGTCCTTTACTCTGGCCTCTTCAGAATACCTTGCCCAGAGCCACCCTTCCCCTGTTCCTCTCCACTGCTTTACTCGGATTTACACTATCACCACCTGACATGTTTCCCATCGTTTGTCTGTTTATTGTCTCCTCTGCTCCATGAGTGCAGGACATGCCTAGAACAAGGCCCGATATTGAATAGATGCTCAATAACTATTTTTTCACGAATGAAGGCAAGACAGGAAGAAGGAAGGAGAGAAAGGTTCTGAGAAGCCTCGGAGGGAAGGAACATGTCTAACTTTGTTTAAACCAGTATTCCACACACTTAGTTGATAATAGAAATTTGAAGCACTGTTAGGAGTTCCTTGTTCTCTACACACTCCGGGAAACGCTGTGCTGTGGCTTCAGAACCGCTGTATTTACGTGCCCCACCCCTGCTTCTAATCCTCCTCTGGTGTCCCAGGGACCCCCGTCTCCACTGTGCAGTGGGCTGTCCTCGGCTCCCAGCCTGGCATGCCCCAGTGAGTCCCACTGCCTGAGACATCTGCTACTGCCATTATCACCCGCTACCCGAGTTCAGCCATCCCCCCAACCCCTCCAGACTTACCCCTGTAATTCCCCCTGGCTTGTGACAAGTGGTGACTCACAGCCGCACCCCCATCCCTGGCCCACCTCACATGCATGTCCCACCTGCACCCACCCTGGGCTGCCTGCCAGTGTGTCCCTCCCGCCTCCTTCCAGTGGGAGGGGCCCTTCCCTGGTCTTGAGCTAGTCAGGCATCTGGACTGATGATGCTCAACTAGCTCTTAGCTTGGCATCCCAGGGGAGGACAGCCCCACTGGAAATGTGAGCCAGGGGTCAGCCCCAGCCTGGGAGTGGCAGCCGATGGGAGCAGGCCCGGGGCTCCTGCCGTGGCCCCCGAGCAGCCTGGCCCTTCCTCCCCAGGGTTGGGTGTGAGATGCTTGCTGTCCCTTCCCTCGCCTTGCCCATTATTAGAGCCTGTACTTAGCATGGCAGCCATAACAAAACCGAAGGCCTGGGTTCGACCTGCACTCTGCCACTTATAGCTGTGTGACCTTGGCAGGTAACTTTGCCTCCCTGTTTCCATGGTGGCAAGTGGGAATAGTATTTGTTCCTTTCTCCCAGATGGCCATGACAATTACATGGGTGAGTGCGTATTAAGCGTGTAGCCCGGTGTCTGGCTCGGAGTGGGTGCCGTGGGAATGCAAGCCAACATTGCTATTTGACTCCAGCCTGGCTCGCCCCGGAACCCTCCCTCTCAACTGGGGTTCATGCACCTGAGGGCGGCCTCCTTCTTTGTCATGGTTTGGGACCCGGCTGGGCTTGGGGACTTCCCCGATTGTCCAGACTGGGCAGTTGCCCCTGTCCCTACCCACAGCCCCCCACCTTCATCCCACGTTGCGCTTAGTCCAGCGCCTGCTGAGAGCAGGTGGGAGCAAAGTTCATGGCCGAGTGAGTGAAGAAAGGTGGAGGCAGAAGATGGGTCCCTCCAGCGGGCTGTGGGCGCTGCCCTCCCAGACCACATGGCTCTGGGCGCCCTGTGAACCTGACTCCCAGCCTGCGTTAGGGGCTGCCCAGCCATGAGCCCTGCATCTTACCTCCTCACCCCGGGCACTGGCACCAGAAGCCTCGGACTGTGGAGCTCGGGTCTGACTGCAACTTCCACATCGATCCTCCCAGGGTCGATTTTTGTTTTTGTTTTTTCTGCCCTGGAGCGCTGTAACCATTAAGTTCCAGGCAGGGGTCAGGCCCCTGGGCTCGATCTGCTCGGGTTGCCTGCACAATTGAAATCCCCAAGCCCATCCTGGCTAGTTTTCTCATTAAGATGATTGGACTGGATTGATCCATTAGATCGATGGCTGGACATCAGCCGGTGGGAAGCCAATCAGATGAGCCCGGACGATACACCTGGAGGTGCCCCACCGCGCTGGAGGGGGCGCCCAGCCCTCTGGGATGGGGCTCTGGGAGTCAGGGGAGAGGGTCAGGGGCCTCACCTGGCTGGACTTTTTGTGGAAGCCTCAGTGTGTTCCCAGCAGGGCATGGCACCAGGGTAAGGGCCCCAGCGATCCCCGGGACAGCTGTTGGCCAGAAGTTAACCTCCGGTGCTCACAGAGGTTTGAGCGTTCTTCCCAGGAAGTTTGCCTGTAATCGCCTTCCCCCACATCACCACCCCCATGGCCCAGGGTTGGAACTGCCTCTCCCCTTGGGTGGCAGGGGGTGTGCAATGGGAGATTTGGGGTCCAGGAAGCAAAGAGTGTTCCCCAGGGCTCTGCTCCCTTCTCACCAGGAGTAATTTGGTTGTGAGGCTGGGACTGGAGGGATCTGAGCACCTAAGGACACAGTATCCCAGCGTGGGTTTCACGGCTGCACAGAATGCCGATGGCGTTTAGGGAGCGGCTAAGGAACCCGGAGTCCGCTCGGTTTGGAAATGCGAGAGTAAATGCATTTTAGCACGTTCATTTCCTGCGGGGCCTGGGCTAACATGCATGGAGGCTCTCTAAGGGGGGTGGGCTGCAGGTGCAGTGTTTGACCGCAGACTGGTTTCTCTGGGAAATCTTATAGAAATAAACTACGGCACTGCCCTCGGTTTCCAGCTGGTCTTACTTTTCAAGAGGAAATTCATCCCAACAAGAAGTGTTTTCAGGATTGGAGGGACCCACAGGAGTCAGGGAGGTTCCCAGAAAGGGAGATGTCAATGAGAGGGAAGAAGAGGGTGGTGAGCCGAGCCCCATTCCTGCTCAGTCACTGATCACATAAGACCACAGTGAAAACAGCGCCCCCTAAGGTTGTGTTGTCTCTCTCTGCCACTCCTCACCCTGCATCAGCCAGCCAGCCCTCCTGACCGACTTCTGCCCTCACCTCCCCATTCTCCTTTCTCTGTAGGCTACTTGACTGTCAACATTGAGCCTCTCCCACCTGTGGTGGCTGGTGATGCCGTGACCTTGAAGTGTAACTTCAAGACGGATGGTCGCATGCGTGAAATCGTGTGGTACCGGGTAAGTCGCCACCCCTGTTTGCTCCATGCCTATGGCCAAGGGGAGGCCCAGACAGGTTCTGGGGACCCTCACAAGCTTGCCTATGTCTGCAGCATAACGCAGCTCTGGGCTGTCCTGTGTCCTCCGCGCCAGGTCTCCATCCCCCTGAAACCCTCCTCCAAGACTGGTTTGCTCGGCCCGTTCTGCTGCTCTCCAGATCTGTCCCCTTCTGGTCTTTTTGTGCCCCTTCCATGATGCTATGCTCAGGAAACCCCACTAGGACCGAGTGGGGTTGCTAAGGACGCCGTGGGCCCTGGCTGCAGTGTAACAACCAAGGGATGTCGAACGGTGGACTCTCAGACCGGAGGTTTAGTGTGGAGAGGGAAGGGGGAGAGAGACCAGGGCAGCCTCCTGCCTTCTTAAAAACCAACTTCCAGAGCTAGTCTGCCTTCTAATTCGATTCTGCATAGGAACGGTCCTAGTGTGTGGCCCCCTAAGTGCAGGTCTGAGAAGGGACGTTGTTAGAGACACGCAGGTGTCCACCTGCCCAGGGCCCAGGGCCCAGGGTTCGGCGGCAGGAGGACCAGCTCGTGGTCTCGGGCACAAGTGTGGGCCTTTTCCCAGCCCTGATAGAATCCTTCATGTGAGTGGACCGGGCACCCCAGGCTGGTCTCTCTTTGCCACAAGGGAGCTGGGGCTGGCTGGGCTCCGGAGAAGGTCCACTTGGCATTGACATTCGTCTTTGCAAGGAAGGTGAGGTTTGCACACAGCAAAGTGCCTCCATCTTGGCAGGGGGCTAGGCGGGGTCTCCCCTTCCATGATTTAAAATGGAGGTTGGCAAAACCTTTCCAGCGAGGCCCAGAGAGTAAATGTTTTCCTCTCCGGTGACCATATGGTCCCTGTCGCAGCCACTGAGCTCTGGTGTGAAACAAGGAGAGGACGCGTGTCGATGGAAGGGCATGGCCGGGTTCCAATGAAACTTTACTCACGGAGGCTGAAATTTGAATTTCACGCCATTTTCATGTGTCACAAAATACTCTTTAAAAAACTTTTTTTTTCAACCACAAAATGGTGAAAAACCATTCCGGGCTTGAAAGCCGTGCAAAAACAGGTTGTAGGCGGATTTGGTCCGATTTCAGTCATCGTTTGCTCGCCCCGATGTAAAACAGCGTTTCTCGAGCCCTTGTGGACTCTGCCAAATGCAGCTGCTTTCCATGGTGTGGATGTTTCGGAGGGGAGAGTGGGGGTGGGGCGGGAGGGAGGGAGGCGGGCACACTTTGGTGGTCGGGCATCTAACACTGGTTCCTCCACTCCTTTAAGCTCTGTCTGCATCCACGGGCAGCGTGTGGCACCTGACGGGCCACACTCGCCCTCACGGCCGAGCCTCAGATCTGCACCCCCTCGGTCTCCTTCTTACTCGTGGTCCGGTCTTGCTTTGAACCATCCTGCCCTTGCACTTCCTTCTTGTCGGTTTGGTCTTTGATTCATCATTCGCTGGTGGCTGCTGTTTTGTCGCCTGTGACCCCGGTCTCCTTTGAACCCAAATCCTTGTTCTTCATAGCCTGTCCCACTGAGATTCACCTCTAGGGCCCCCCACCCAGGCAGGCCAGGCCTCATGGGTGTGAGCCTGAATATCGACACCCCACAGGGCCCTGGCTTTAGATGAGGTTTGCATCCTGGTGAGATCAAGGGGCCTAGAGAAAGTTGAGGCATATGTTAAATAGTGCCACGGACTGACTCGCTAAGAGGCGTATTTACATGCTACGGGAACTGCTTGGCTGACACACACTGTGAGCATCTCATTAGCACCTGGCAGAAGGACTGGGATAAATTAACTCCAGCTCACTGCTGTCGATGGGAGATGGGACCACGTCTCTCCCTCAGCCATCCAAAGAGGGGACCGGAGTGAGGGGTAGCAGAAAACCTGCCCAGCTGGCAGAGAGAACTAGGGACACCCGACAGGACCTGTTAATGGGAGTGAAGGCGCCAGTGAGCCTGGAGACAGGAAAATACCTGTGGGCACCTCACTGCCTTCTCTGCCCTTGGAGCAAGTGTCCTCACTCTTGTTTGAAATCAAATGTCACCATATTGCAGCAGTGACAGTCTCTCTGCAGAGGTCACTGCCAGGGGTGGGGGAAATGCCAGGCCCAGGTGTAGGAAACCAGGCAGGCCTCCAGGTGGCTCAACCCTACGGTCTCTGAGGATGGGGCTGGGGCTGGGGAGAATGCCCAGGTTCCAGTTCCCATGGAGACCTCCCCTCCCCTTCTCCAACCCCATCCCCCTCCCCAGCCCCATCTCCCTCCACCCTAGCCTGTGATCACACTGATTGCTTTAAGAATCTCTTAAGGGTGTCAGGCCCTTCATATCAGGCCATGGTGGGTGCACTAATCAATTTATTTTATTTCATTTCACATCCTCTGACTGAGGGCCTCTGGAGGGGGGGTATGCAGATATATGCAAATCACATGTAAATTGCCCACTGGAGCCAAATGCTTGGGCCCTTTCCCATTCTGTAGCTGGACTGAGGTAGCAGCTCAGCCGACTTGGGAGTCTCCTTGGACCCAGGCGAGCCCCGAGTGCCCTACAATGGTGAGGACGGAGTTGGAGGCTGGGAGGAAACTACAGGGAAATGGCTCCCGGCTGCCAGCTCCCTCTGCCTGCTGTCACTCTGGCCTTTCCTCTCTGATTGCTTCTTTTCCCAAGGAGCCAACTGAATGGAGGGAGATAAGAGCCTACCGAGATGGGGGCACCAGGAACCACGGCTGGGCAAGGCTTCTGGGGGGAGTGAGAGAAGCAGCCTTCAAAGCCCAGGTCTCCTCTGGCCAGACCCCCCATCACCACACTTCAGCCCCCTATCTACACCCCCTCCCACCCCCCCCCGAGCCCCCACCAACAGAGAGCTGCTGAGCCAGCGTTGTTTGTTTTCTGTACATGTGTTTGCCTCCCCAGCTTCCTTTCCTCCTCCTCCATGAATGAGCTTACAGAGCCCGGCTTGGAAGGAAATGAATAGATTACACAGGCCCAGCCGGGGCTGTGTCTCCAATCCCTTTAGAAGGGAAAAGCAGGGCATTGTGATGGGGCTACCCCTGTCCGCTCAGCCCAGTGGGCACAAAGTGGACCAAAAACATGTGTAAGGCCCAGCAGCCTTCCCTCTGGTCCTAAAGACATTATCTCAGTAATGGGGTCATCCTGAGCTTTCAGAAACTTAGTGAGTCGATTGGATTCTTTGGGCAAATCGGGGAAGCTGATGAAATTGTCTGAAGCAAAAGGGATTGCCCCCTTGAGGTTAATAAGACCTCTGTCTGAGCATTCAGGAAGGTCTTGTCTTGTGGACCCCTTGGGAGTCGGGTGGGGGCAGGGAGAATAGGAGCACATGGCCTGGGTCTGCACCTTGGACACTTTGCCCCATGGCCTGGCCATTTTGTAGAAGGCACCAAACTATAGACTCAAGAACGTGAACTTGACCAGACCCCCTGGGTCTGCGTTGTCTAATGTGGCAGCTACTAGTCACATGTGGCCATTTAAATTTAAACTTTACTAAATCAAATTAAATTCAAAGGGTTTTTCCTCCATCAGACTAGCCACATTTAAAGCATTCATTAGCCACCTGTAATTAGAGGCTATTGTTTCTATCAAAAGTTCTCCTGGACAGCTTACTGCAGATATTTGAATTTTTTTTTACGTGGCCTCTGGAATATACTGTGCTTTGCTGTCAAATGAGCAGTCGTGAACCTCCTCTGAGCCAGCTTTCCAGGAAAACTCGCTCCATAAATTGTTTCATAACTTGCCATTATTTGATTGCGGGGTGTGGAGGGGGTGGGAAGATGAATCATCTTCTCAGAAGACTTCTTTGAAAACATGGCACGAGAGTTGTCAGGCCCTTAAAGCATCACAGTGGTCTATCAAAGCCCTATTCAACTGAAGGATGCTTCACAGCCCTTTTCTTCATCTCCTGATGCTTTCTCCCCCAGTGCACAGGTTCCTCTCCTTTGAGTCTCCAAGGCCCCGTCCTCCCATCTCAGGCCCAGAACTCACCTTTTTCCCTAGAAAAATACCGCGGCTAATAGAGTAGAAGCGCAATTCTGTACTTGGCCAGTAGGGGACTCTCACCTAACAACCCAACTCCCTAGCGTGTAAGTCAGGACTTGGCTCCAGAAAGTGAGTGAGAAATAACATCCTTCATTTAATCATTTATATTCGTTTACACTTGCAATTGGGGGCTCATTCAGTAATGCTGCTAATGCTAATTTGAGTGAGTACCATTTGAGCCTTTACTCTGTGCCGTGTCTCCACGGCTACATTTCGTTTTCCCATGGGCACCGAGAGGTAGGAATAATCATTAAGCGTGTTTTTTCAGATGCAGAAACCGAGACCATCCAAAGAGACTAGCTCAGCTCATGTTGCTGTTCCTGACTTTTGCAGAAAGTTCTAGATACTCCCTCCCCTGGGATTCCTCTGTGTGGGTCTGAACTCCAGCTCCTCTCATGTCAAAACATGCGTCTGCCCACTGGGCAATGAGCATCTGGAGTACAAAGGCCATGTCTCTTCCGGGCTGTGTCCTACAAAGTGTGCCTAGCAGTCACCTCAGCAAATCTTTGTCAAATGCACTAACGGTAGGGCTGTAAATATAAATGCTTGTGCACATCTGACCCGTCATGCCGTGCACTCCTGTCTTCATGCCACCTGTGTACAGATGAGAGCATCCTCCTGTCTAAGAGTGAGGGTGAGTCTTTGAATACTCAGGGGCTTTTGTGGAGGATAAAGAAATGGAACATTTCCTGTTGGGGAATACTGTCTAAACTCATTTAGTTGGAGGTCATCTGCCCAGCAAGCAAAGCCAAAGGTGTGTTTATATCATAGAAATCCATTAAATAACCACAGAGAATCATGGGAGTTTAACCTTTCACAGTAGCTTTTATGATCTCACCTTTGCTTTGTCTCTTTCCTCCACAATTTGTTTCAAGAGCCACACTGGGCCCAGGTTACAGGGCCATGGTGAAGAGAGCCACAAAGCGAGATAG